TTCTATTGATGTTCTACTGGGTAAGGGAAACGGTGTTCAGGAAAACAGGGTATTTCTATTGATGTTGTAGTGGGTAAGGGAAACAATGGTCAGGGGAACAGGGGATGTCTATTGATGTTCTAGTGGGTACGGGGAACAATGGTTGGGGAAACAGGGATCTGCTAAATGTTCTACGGGGTTGTCAAAGTCAGAAAATGTTTGTTCAGGGTGCGAAGGCTGGTGTGTCCGAAGGAGTCGGAGGCAGAATCTCATGTAGGAACAAAGTGTCCAAGTGTCTTGAAAGGGGGTCTGCAGCGGACTTGATCAGGTCTTTGGAGTAGGTGGTAGAAGCGGTCTTCAGCAGCTGCGATAGGTAGAAGTCCAAGAAGCGTAGTAGTAGTCCAAGTGTCAAAGTCCAAGTGCTAGGGTGCGTCCGGTACACGAACTGCAATGAGGTCTGATCTGGAAGCAAGGAAATCGCAGACTGATGCAAAGATCCATGTGACAAGTTGCTGCTCCAGTAAGTCCGCGAGTCGGGGATGCCGGCCAATGAAACAGCATGGTGGCCAAACCAGCTGCATAATCTCCATGAATAGTGAGGCATCAGGCCATCATCCTCGTGCGCTTGCCATTAGATCCTTTATCGCCGGCGTCACGCAAGTTCACAAGCATTGGACAAGAGAGACAAGGTAGTGGAGAGGATAGATGGGACAAGGCTAGGCGAGGGCAAGGGCAGATCAGACATCAGGAATGAGGATCAAGGGAAGGGTGGACTGGGTTCAAGGGTGTGTGTAGAGCAGGGTTGCAAGGGTTTTTAGCGGGGGTTTATACCATAGTGATAAAGGTATCTAGGACATAGGATTAGCACGATCATAGGCGCGGACAAGTTTCATGGCGTTCTTAAGATTAGAGAGAGGTTCCCATGTAGATTCTTCGTCGGGGTATCAGGTCCATTTGACTTTGTATTCAGTGATTGGTTCCGGATGATCAGAAACCTGAGTGGTTCGTCGGCCGATGATGGTTTCGACAACGAATTYAGGGCCTGTGGGTAGCATGATTGGTGGAGGTCTAGGATATGGGCGGTCGGCGAACTGGATCGGGGATTCATGGTATTCTTTTAGGTACTCGAYATGGAAGACTGGGTGGACACGACTCATGTCAGGGGGAAGTTGGAGTTTGTAGTTGACGGGGGAGGTTTGTTCAATGATGGGGAAGGGACCGAGCCACTTGTTCGAGAGTTTCTTGGACAAGCCTTGTTTGGGTTGCCGAGGGCGGTGATGCGGAGGTTGCGGGTCGCGTGGAGGCGGACTGACGGGTGAATCGTGCGGCGTTGGGGCAGTTGGTTTGTTGGTGCCCCAATTGGCGACAACGGAAGCAACCCCCTTTTGCTTGGAGGTAGGTGCGCTCCTCGGGGGTGAGTTTCTTGAGGTGGGAGGGTGGGGTAGATGAGGGTGGTCGGGAGCTGCGATCTCTGCGCTCCATTCTCATGAACTGGACAACATCGAGTTCCTCGGAAGTGAGGGGTGAAGAGTCGAGTGAATCAGAAGATGCGTCGGGGTCAGATGTGGTGAACTCGCCTGAGGAAGTGATGGAGGTGGTGTCTTCGGGGGTGATGTGGTGGAAAAAGCGGGTGCGGGAGGTGCCGGGGGGGYCTGGTGGTGGGGGTGGAGGAGTCGATCGTGGTGGAGCATGCGAGAGAGGAGGTCAGCAAGGGGCATGTCGGGTTCGTGGGCGAGGGCGGTTGCAAGGTCTTTGTGGCATACTCGTTTGATGCGGGAGATGAACGCACAGTCGGGAATGACGGTGTGGGGGAGGTGGTGTTGGAGGGAGCAGACGTATTGGACGAAGCGGTCCGTGGGACCGGTTTGGCGGAGGTGGCAGAATTGTTCAAGGTAGTCGTCAATGGTTTTCTGGGGGCGGAAGGTGGCAGT